TCTAAGCGTGTAAATTGGATGGCATTGTGGCATCCGATGGCATTTGATGGCATTGTGGCATCCGAAGCGGGACCAATGTTAAGGCGGACTGATCTCTCTCACATGTACCTTTTACAGTCTATGGTATTTACCTGTGTCAGCTGTCTTGTCGATGCCTCGAGAGAAAAGAAAGTGCAGAGCGCAAAAGCATAGACATAAATACATAGACGCCCTATTGGCCGCTTTGGAACGTTGCTGCGATAGTTTCTTATTGTGGAAAAAGGATTTTCTGTGATTGACCCGATTTTAGCAATAACAAAGATAACAGATGGATCCTTTATGTGGGATTGAGCTCTGGTTAACCGGGGTGGGGGGAGGAACTGCACATATTTAAGGGGGACAAACACGGACTTATTTAAGTGATGCACCAAACTCATGCAGGGAAGACGCCACACAAACACGGCGCTGAGAAAGAATTGGGTGAGTAGGATAGGATAGTGGGGGGTTTCGGGTGATGGTGTGCAGGTGTTTTAAGTGTGTGTGTGTTTGTAGACGTCGAGCGCTCCCGGGAACCCCGGTAACCAGAGCGGCCGGAGCATGAAAGTATGGATTTAAAGGTATGAAGTGTTTATATTTATTTAAACGTGTATATTATTTTTGTATTATGATATATGTGAATTGATTTATTTTGGTGTGTTGTGAACAGATTGCCTCGGTTTTGATTTAATTTGTCCTATATTTTTTTGGATTGATTTGATTATGTAGAGTGGATTTGTTTTGAGTTTTCTTTGGTTTTCTTCCTTTAAAGAAGTTATGTTGTTTGCTTTTCCTGAAGTGGATGGATTTTAAAACCTGATCTTAGAGTTTTTTGATAATAAAAGAAGTATCTATGAAAATGTTCTAGTACGTTGTGGTCAGTCTAAGCACCCACGTAACAGAATTTTGGCGACGAGGATGGGGTCCCTAATTTAGGTGTACTCCTTATTTCTATTTTTATTATTATTTTTTTTTTCTTTTTTTTTGTTTGTTTTGTTTTTGTTTTGTTTTTTGAGGACAAATTAAGTCAAAACCGTGGTGAAGACGAAGACGATCAGCTGACGGGGGCCAAGGACTGCAACACAGAGGATTATAATGGAGGAGCTTCAGGAGCAGCTGGCAGATCTAAAGAGGAGACTGGCACGGGAGAAAGAAGAGAAGGATAGACTGGCTATTGAGAATGAGAGACTGTCAAGGGGCACTGGGACAATGGATACTGGGACTGTGCGGCAAGAACGAAGCACAACAAAAGTGGAGGTGGTGTATGCTCCCAGAGAGAAGAGATGTAAAGTTTATACTGGTAAATCTTCAAGTGTACCTTTGAGTGATTGGATTGAGGACCTGAAAAGTGTGTTTAAGGCCCGTAACTTTACATCAGATCAGGCAGTTGATTATATTTGGGAACATCTAGAGGGTGAAGCAAAACAGGAAATTAAGTATAGATCTAAAGAAACACGGTCCACGCCAGAGGGAATTTTTGAAGCTTTGCTTGAAGTATTTGGAAGTGCTCAATCATTTACTGCATTGCAGAGGCAGTTTTTTGAAAGGCAACAAGGAAAAACTGAAACACTAATTGAGTTCTCGCATGCATTAATGGCTTTGTTAAAAGAACTAAAAAGTTGTAACCCAAAGGGTGTGTCGGAAGAGGATGTAATGCTTAGGGATCAATTTGCAGAGAATGTGAGAAGTAAAGAACTCTGTAGAGAGTTAAAAAGAATGATTAGACAGAAACCAAGCTTAACATTTCTTGATGTCCGGAAAGAAGCTGTTGAGTGGGCTGGTGAGGGGTTGAGGGTTTCGGAGACATCGTTTGGGTCTGAGAATCTCAGTACTATAGATAGTGAAGCAGTGATGGCAAAACAGAGTACAGATCCAATGTTAGTAGAGCTGTTTGGTATGGTGAAAAGTCAGCAAAAGCAATTAAGTGATTTAACTGAGCAAATGTCCAATTTGCAAGCCTTTAATAGGCAGCAGCGGGGAGTGCCACGAAGATCGTATTCCTTTGATCCCTCGGGACAGCCTATTTGTTTTAAGTGTCAGAAAGTGGGACATATTGGGCGTTATTGTAGTGAGATTGTGAACCCCAGTCAAGTATGGGGGCAGCAGAGATATCCTACGGATGATGTATCCAATCCCCAAGCTCAAAAGCCTGGGCTGTTAAACTAACCCCCTTTGCTGTGGAGAGCCACACAGTAAGTGAGGGGTTACCTGGCTCTGTGGTTCAAGGAACTAGCCCAGAAATCCTTAAAAAATTAGTGGGTCAATGTCCAGTCACTGTTGTGAAGATGGGGGGTGTTAAAATAAATAGTTTGATTGACACTGGTTCTATGGTTTCCATGATAACTGAGAGTTTTTTTAAACAGCACATTGCAGGAAAGGATGTAGATGCATTGAAGGAGTGTGGGTGGTTGGTGTTAAAAGCAGCAAACGGCCTTGATATCCCATATGTGGGTTATCTAGAATTAGATATTAACATCCTTGACCAAATCCTTCCGAAACAGGGGGTATTGGTGGTAAAAGACGCATTTGACACTGAGACAAGGGAGAGAAAGAAACTGGTTCCTGGTTTAATTGGTATGAATGTAATTCAAAATTGTCATGACCTTTTGAAGCAAGAATTTGGGTCTCAATATTTAAAAAGTTCTATGATGCAGCAATGTGAGGCTTCTTTGAAAAAAGCGTTGGAAATCTGTCAATTGTACGATACACAAGACCAGTCTTTTGTGAACCTGTTGGCACAAAATCCAGTCAAGGTGCCAGCAGGTACGCTTCAATTGGTTTGTGCAGCGAGTGGGTACACTAAACTCATGCCAAATGAGTCCTTGCTTTTGGAGCCTCTGATAGAGAGTGAGGGGAGTTTACCAGCTGACCTTTTTATTATAGGTGCAATAGTGTCCCCAGAAAAAGGACAATTGCTGGTCCCAATTATGAATGTGGGGACTAGTGATGTTATTTTGTACCCACATGTTCGATTAGCGTCTGTACACAGGGCCGAAGTGGTGGTCAGTGGGGGGGATTTTGATCTTCAGTTTACTCCAGTACAGGAAGAACAAAATTGTACAGTTTTTATTGAGCAAAGTAATGTGTCACAGTCAGGGGTAACAGCCGCTCAACAAGTTCAGACCCTTAATTTTCCTCTGTTGAATGTGGAGCAGGAAGGAAAGGCCAGGAGGTTGTTGGATAAATATTCCTCTGTGTTTGTTGAAGGGAGTGAGGATGTAGGGTATACTGATTTGATTGAACATCACATCCCATTGTTAGACGACGCTCCAGTTTGCCAGAGGTATAGAAGGTTGCCCCCTACTCAATATGAGGAGGTTAAAGCTCATATTAAATCACTTTTAGAGCAGAATGTAATCAGGGAGAGCTGCAGCCCATATTCCTCACCGATTGTAATCGTAAAGAAGAAGGATGGCTCAATCCGGATGTGTGTGGATTATAGGCAGTTGAATGCTAAAACTAGAAGAGATTCATACCCACTGCCGAGAATTGAAGAATCATTAGATGCATTGAGTGGAGCGTGTTGGTTTTCCACCCTGGACCTGGCAAGCGGATACAATCAAGTGGCAGTGGCAGAAAAGGATAAACAAAAGACTGCTTTTTGTACGCCGTTTGGCCTGTTTGAATATAATCGTTTACCATATGGTTTGTCCAATGGGCCAAGTACTTTCCAACGTCTGATGGAACGGATATTCAGTGATGAAAGTTTTCAGTCAGTGCTCTTGTATTTGGATGATGTGATTGTGTTTTCGTCAACAGTGGACCAACATCTGGAGAGATTGGAGAAAGTCTTACAACGATTTCAGCACCATGGTCTCAAAGTTAAGCTCAGTAAATGCTGTTTTTTTCAACAAGAAGTACGTTATTTGGGTCATGTCATTTCTAGTGAGGGGGTGGCAACAGACCCTGAGAAGATTCAAGCAGTAGCAGAATGGGCGAGACCACAGACAGCAAAAGAGCTTCGCTCTTTCTTGGGATTTGCAAGTTATTACAGACGTTTTGTGCAAGGATTCGCTAGAATTGCAGCACCATTACATCAGCTGGCAGCTATCGGGGAAATGCCAAAGGGTAAGAAGCAAAAGAAAAGAAGACATTTCACTGGTGAACAATTCAGACAGCAGTGGGATGACAAATGTGAAGAAGCTTTTCAAATACTAAAAAGGAAGTTAACATCTGCTCCTGTATTAGCTTATGCTGATTTCACAAAGCCTTTTTTTCTTGAAATAGACGCCAGTCATACAGGACTCGGAGCGGTGATCTCCCAGGATGTGGGAGGTAAGCGGAGGCCAGTGGCCTATGCTAGTAGGGGTTTGAGGGAGTCTGAACGTAATATGGATAACTACAGTACAATGAAGCTGGAGTTTCTTGCCCTTAAATGGGCAGTAACGGAGAAATTTCGGGACTATTTGATTGGTAATAAGTTTACAGTGTTCACAGATAATAACCCTCTGAGTCATTTGAAGACGGCCAAATTGGGGGCTGTGGAGCAGCGATGGGCTTCTCAGTTGGCCATGTTTGATTTTGAAATTGTGTACCGTCCTGGGAAGAAGAATGGAAATGCAGACGCTTTGTCTCGACAAAAGTCGGTAGGAGGACTACAGCTGGCTGTATCAGAGGGAGTGACGTCCACATTCAATGGTGGTAGTGGACTGGAGGATGGAGACAATGGGAGTATTCTACCGCAATCTTTAACTACAGTGGATGTTATTTCCGTTTTCCCTAAATTTCAGATGCAAGATCTACAAAACTGGCAAGAAGAGGATCCTGTTATTTCCCGGCTCAAGTTCTACTGGAGTAAGGGGGAAGGGCCAGACAAGAAAGAAAGAAAAGAGGAGTCAAAAGATGTTCTGGAGCTGTTAAGACAGTGGGATAAAGTGGAAGCTCATGAAGGCGTCTTTTATAGAGTCATTGCAGATGCTAGAGGGGCTGGGTAAAACAGCTTCTCTTGCCTCAAGTTTTAAAGCAGGAAGTCCTTGGTCAGCTGCATGACCATCAAGGTCATCAGGGGATTGACCGAACATTCAAGCTGGTACGTCAACGGTTTTACTGGCCTGGGATGTACCAGGATGTTCAGGAGTTCTGCAAACATTGTCTGCGATGTATTGTGTCGAAGGATGTTCAGCCTAAGGTAAAAACAGCGATGAACAGCATTCAAACATCTAAACCCTTGGAGGTTGTGGCATTGGATTTTACGTTGCTGGAACGTTCCCAGAGTGGAAAAGAAAATGTGCTTGTCATAACGGATGTATTTTCTAAATTCACAATAGCCGTACCGACAGTTGATCAGAGGGCCATAACAGTTGCAAAAGTGCTGGTCAAGGAGTGGATTCATCGATATGGAGTCCCAGCCCGGATTCATTCTGACCAAGGACGGTGCTTTGAGGCTGAAGTCGTGCAGCAGTTGTGTCGTATGTATGGCATACAGAAGAGCAGGACAACAGCATTTCACCCCCAAGGCAATGGGCAGTGTGAACGTTTTAATAGAACTTTACATGATCTCCTCAGGGCCCTTCCTTCTGAAAAGAAAAAGAGATGGGATGAGTATTTGCATGAAGTGTTGTTTGCATATAATACTACTGAAAATGCTACGACTGGATTTTCCCCATTCTTTTTAATGTTTGGCAGGAGCCCAGATCTCCCAATTGACCATTATTTGAGGGGTGGTACAGTAGAAAAAAAAGAAGGCATGGTGGAGACCTGGGTGATTGAACATCAGCACAAACTGCAACAGGCTTATAGGCTGACACAGAGACGGTTGCAGAAATTGGCCAAGCAGAGACAAAGGAAACAAGGAGTGAGCAAAGATGCCAGTCTGAATCCAGGAGATTTGGTTTATCTGCGTAATCGCAGTTAGAGGAAGGAATAAAATTCAGGATGTTTGGGAGGATTTACCTCACTGTGTGCTGGAAAGAGTGGACCCAGATAAAGCGGTGTATAAGGTAGTTCCTGTGGATCAATCGCGTCTACCAAAGAATGTGCATCGGTCGGAGCTACGTCGTTGCGGACCTCTGCAGAAGGAGCCTGTACGGTCAAGAGAGTATCAAGGGATAGACTCCGGCACAAGCACGGCACCGTCTGAGTCTGAGGAGGATTGGGAAGAGCTTCGACTGGTGGTACAAGAAAACCTGTCTTCTGGAGTGGAAAGGGAAGTGAGTGCAGAGGAGGTGGTTTCCAGAGATGATGAGAAATCGATATTCACTAGCACAGACTCTACTGTTCGACGCTCTCAGAGGACCAGAGCAGGACAGCATAGTAATCCCTTTAGGGAGCCACGATCGGTGCAGGGTATGGAAGCTGCAGCAATCCCCACAGTGCTAAGTTGTGGCGTAAGACCCCCGTCTAGTGAAATTGGGGCAATTGAGACAGTTTTAGATCTTTTGCTGCAAGTGATGCATGAACTAAAAAGAATCAGGAGCAGTGGTTAATGTTGTTTTTTTGAATGTTGTTAAAAAATGCACATAATGAATCATCGGGACGATGATTTGACAAGTGAGGGGTGGATGTGGGATTGAGCTCTGGTTAACCGGGGTGGGGGGAGGAACTGCACATATTTAAGGGGGACAAACACGGACTTATTTAAGTGATGCACCAAACTCATGCAGGGAAGACGCCACACAAACACGGCGCTGAGAAAGAATTGGGTGAGTAGGATAGGATAGTGGGGGGTTTCGGGTGATGGTGTGCAGGTGTTTTAAGTGTGTGTGTGTTTGTAGACGTCGAGCGCTCCTGGGAACCCCGGTAACCAGAGCGGCCGGAGCATGAAAGTATGGATTTAAAGGTATGAAGTGTTTATATTTATTTAAACGTGTATATTATTTTTGTATTATGATATATGTGAATTGATTTATTTTGGTGTGTTGTGAACAGATTGCCTCGGTTTTGATTTAATTTGTCCTATATTTTTTTGGATTGATTTGATTATGTAGAGTGGATTTGTTTTGAGTTTTCTTTGGTTTTCTTCCTTTAAAGAAGTTATGTTGTTTGCTTTTCCTGAAGTGGATGGATTTTAAAACCTGATCTTAGAGTTTTTTGATAATAAAAGAAGTATCTATGAAAATGTTCTAGTACGTTGTGGTCAGTCTAAGCACCCACGTAACATTTATCTATGGTAATGGTAATATACGATATGGTACAATACAGTGCAACACAGATAGTAAATATAATATAAAGTGAGAAGTAATAGTAAATAGTCAATAAAATAAATAAACCGTATACAGCAAATAAAATTGTAATGAAAAGGCTATAGTATATAAAATAAAATGACACAACTCTGTCTATTTTTGTTAAATTTCAGTTTTATTGATCAGTAATAGACATTATAACAGTATAAGTAGGCCTAGTCTAAAAGTTATAAGAAGTTAATACAAGACAAGAAATAAAGTAAACTATTCAGACAAACATACAGCAGGATACAACGTTAAAATAGCCAAAATATAAAGTTATGAAACTTCACTTTGCCCTCAGCCAAAACGATTTGCCAGGGAACAAATGATAGATTAATAAAACCAAATATCGCCCGTTATATACACAAGACGAATTATATCTCATGTTTACTAGAGATATACCACTAGACTAGAGACATCAGAGCCCGCAGCAAACGTCCGATGCACTGGCCGAGGTACGGCTGTTCTCGGCGGGATAGACGAGCGCTGAGCGTCCGGTGAAAGACTGGATATCACAACTCCGAAAACGTCAGATCAATTTTTTGAATAGGCGCTATCTTTATAAATAAATAACAGATCTGAGCATTAAACAACTATATTGTCGACTGAAAAACTATTAAAACGACATTCCGTGACACAATAACAGTAGTATTCTTAGTAGTAAGTGACTCTAAAAAATCTAACACCCAGTAATATGTAATTTCTTTGCATCTCCTTTCGAAAACAACATTCAAATTACTAGACAAAAAAATTATATAAGGAGAAAAGTGGATTTTTAGGGGTAGAGCTCCACAGACCTCCATTCATTCTGCACTCGCCCCCGCATGGACAGAGAAGTGTTACTGCAGCCAGTCCAGAAACAGGAAGTAACCAGAGAGTGCCAGTTCTCTTCATATTAGACATTCTTTGGTCAGGCAGAGGAAGGAAAACACAGCCTGAACTGTCTCTTCAAACTTTACTTTAACAACAGGACGTGTGTTTGGCTGCAGATTCTCTTCAAACTTTATCCCACTACAACTTTAAGCAGGAGGTAAAAAACTATATCTTACAGATATCTGAAGCATAATAAGACTCAGCCGCTCAGCTCTGTGTAACACAGGCCTCGTTTACACTGCATGGTTCAAGTGACCCAAATCCGATTTTTTCCTCTCATGTGGCACAGATCGGATTTGACCGGTTAACGTTAACGTGTAAGCAGGAAAAAAACGCATGGATTCCGATTTTCTCAGATCGGATTCAGGCCTCATTCATATGTGGTAATAAATCGGATATGAGTCAGATACGTGCATTTGCGTGTGCCATGTAAGCAGACAAATCGGATATTCTAGTAAATACGAGTAATGCGTCATTAAACTGCGCATAGGCGCGAGCCGCGCGATGGAAGAAATGATACACAGGAGCAATGCGGAGGTTTCATGTCTTTTGAGTGTTTGGGGTGAAGAGTGTAGGCAAAAATGCAGGGTTACAGAAATAAATCCGTTTTAAGACATTTTACGAGATATGAGGCATCGTTTTAAGTGCTCATGGCCAGAGCTTCTTTTTCTCCGCCATACGAGACCAATGTTTTGAAGACTTCTTGAAATATTGTGGAAAGAAAACACTGGATAATTTTATTATATTAAAATTATTAAAATGGATAATTGATAATTATATTGCACAACTGCGCTACTTCCTGAACTTAACCCAGCTCCTTGTTTCCTGTCTGTCATTATTGGCCAAGCTTGATTAATTCAGGTGTGTCTGATTATTGTTGCCGTGACTACTGAGGTCAGGCACACCTGGACAGAGCCCGTCTAACCAAACGGAGAGCCTTGGCACTTCCTATTAGCCCCGTTGTGTATCATCTTGGTTGCAGTTCCATTAGAATTCCACTGGAGGTGATCGCGGGCGAGTGCAGAATGAATGGGAGTCTATGGGGCTAAACGGCTAAATGTGTCTCTTTCACCTGCTATTTGTTAAATCAACATAGATTTTATTGTTGATTCCGCAAGTTCAATATAGATTATATGCTAAAAGTCGAATGAACGAGTACTTATGTCCTTTTGATTTCTTACAGGTTAGGCCGTTGTTGGCCGGAACACGCTAGCATTCTGCTATTGTGTAACGTCATCACATTTTTGAACTGATTTGAACAGATAAGTGAACTTAAAAATGCAATTTTCAGCTGAGTGAATTATCTTAGCCCTCCCTTTTGAATGCAACTTTCAAATTACTTGACAAAAAATTACATCCTGAGAAAAAAGGATTTCTGGGGGTGAAACCCCATTGACTCCCATTCATTCTGCACTCGACCGCGAGCGCCCCCGCATGGACAGAGACGTGTTACTGCAGCCAGTCCAGAACCCGGAAGTAACCAGCCAGTTCCAATTCTCTTCAATTGGTCCAAATATGTTTAATTAGCATCCTTTTTTGTAATTTGGTCTTGTTTTATTTTATAATAATATTGTTTGTCTATAATGGTCATTGTTTGTCTTGTATGTCTGTTTAGTAGTGTATTTTGTGTATCAATCGTGTATCAATACAAGTTGTATTATATTGTTAATATTGAATAAAGCAAAAAAAAAAAAAAAAAAAATTCTCTTCAATTGGCTTTATGCACAGCTGCGCTACTTCCTGAACTTCAGCCAGCTCCTTGTTTCCTGTCTGCCATTATTGGTCAAATTGATTAATTCAGGTGTGATTGACCTCAGTAGTCACGGCAACAATAATCAGACACACCTGAATGAATCAAGTTTGGCCAATAATGGCATACAGGAAGCAAGGAGCTTACTTTATAATTTCTTCCTTTTTTCAGTGAAACATATCTCACCTATAGGAGAATTGACAGGTTCAGGCAAAGATAATGAACTCAAAGAGACAGTATTATTTTTGAAAACCATGAGTATGCCAGATGGAATAGCATCCATAACTGTGGCAAACTCTTTGGGAGTTACAGGTATATGATATTCTGAAAGAAACTCTGTATACCTAAAAAGCAGACCTTCATTATTAAAGAGTTGTCTAACATAAAATATTCCATTACAGAACCAGTGATTATAGGGACCAGAAAATAATTATTTTCTCACATTCACTTGCATTGACGATTTTTCAACCTAGAGGTCCAGTGGGGTTAGCGGAAGGGGCGGGACTTACAGCTCTGTTTAGTTTTTTTCTTGGCACACGTCACTTGGACATTTTGCACTTACTGTGGAGTGTTGAGACTGTTTACATGCCCATATGTACATTTTATGTACTGGTGTTATTGTTGAATAAATATTTTCTAAAATTGTATGATGTTTTTGTTGAGTTATTATTACACAATACTTTTTCTGACCTTTTTGAATCTTGCCCCTGACAAATAACCCAAACTACAAAAAAAAAGACTAAAACTAACACTAAAACTAATAAAAACTAAACTAAAACTAAGCATTTTCAAAAAATAAAAACTAAACTAGCAAACCCACTTTAAAAAAATAATTAAAACTAAACTGAATTTGAAAACAAAAAGGCAAAACGAAATAAAAATAAAAACTAATGAAAAATGCAAAACTATAATAACCCTGTGTAACCCTTCCTGAAAAACCCAAGATGCTCTGATACTGATCCAGACATGGTGTCGCAGTAAAAACTGTGCAGAAACAACTGAGAACCTTCAAACAGTGAAACCAAGAGAGATCATAAATTATATATTCATGATATATGTTACATATATAAATATCAGTTTGTGGATTCACTCCCTGATGATATTTTTTCCTGTTCAAGGTCTTTTATTGTTCTGAGCCAGTTATTGTTTCCAAGAGGTCAAAGGTCACAGAAGATGAACGAGAGCCCCAACTCTGAGCCAGAAGACCGGGGTTCGTGTCCCGTGTGAAACAAAAAGTCAACATTAAATATTTTTATTTAGGCAAGTTACGACATAAATGACGTTAGTTAACTTGCGTGTTAACTGACATACGTAGTTATTTGAACCCAAACCATGATCTTTTCCTAACCTTAACCAAGTAGTTTTGTTGCCTAAACCCAACCAAACTGCAACGTTTCACAACTTTAACAATGCACGTTGATATCCTGTTGGCTAAAACTAAGAGGTTATGATGTCATACTAACAGAACTCCAACCCTCAGATTTGATTTATTCTGTTAACTGACTGATTTTGTCGTCTTTGTTTTCCCGCCATGGACTTCTGAAGCCACCTCCACATAGTCGGGTATAAAATACTTTTTTGTAAGTGAATATGTATTTTGGTCAATATATTTAGATAAAATTTTTATACACCAAACCTTATTCTTTTCCCACTTGTATGTCTTCACTCTCAGATGTCACACTGTGACTTTAGGACGTCACTGCAAGTTTAAAAAGGCTTAAAAGGTTTAAAACTTTGTTTTTCTGGACATGATTCACTAAAGTTGTTCTAAAATGTTTCAAGAGGAAAATGTTCACTGTGTGTTGCTTCTGTGTGTTGCAGTGCTGCACAGAAAACTACAGCCTCCATCTTTGATCTGAGCCTGAAAACAAGGAGAGAGATGGGTGATGAGCAAAGCAGAGCAGCGTATGTAAGGGAGCAAGAGACGCAGAAAATGAACAGTTTTCGGAGTAGAGTCAGCAATGATCCAGATATGAGAGTCAGTCAGGGCATCCAGATGTTCACCAGTCTGTCTGCTTCAGACAACCTGAGACAACACTATGAGAAGAGGAAACTGGAGGCGGGCGGCCACGCTGCAGAGTGGTCCAAAAACCTGGTGGAGAAGCTGGGCAACTTGCTACCAGCTCCAGAACTGACGGGCCTCTTAGCGCTGGTCATCGCCATCATTATCGACACCGTTTCCTCCAGTCTGCCTGAGGAGAGCACAAAGGACATTCTGCGCAGCGTGTTTGCTGAGGAGAAGGCCTCCGAGGTCTGGGATCAGATCGACGAGTGCCTGAAGAGATGCGAGATGAACATCAACAACAGGGGCGGGCTGATGAGCGACATCAAACGGATCGAGGGCCATCTGAGCGCCGCCATCACCAAGCTGAAGAACTCCATGCTGAGGGACGGGCACATGTCGAATCAGGCTCTGAAGGCCTGGGTGAACGGGGCGGCCTTCCACATCCAGATGCTGATTCAACTGGTGAGACTGGAAGGGACTCCAACCTGTGACCCTGCAGAGAGACTTCTCTCTCTTTACCGGAGAGACCTGGAGCTGCTGTTCAACAAGCACGAGGAGGTGATAAAAGGAAAGTGCAGGGAGAAAAAGACGGGACACCCAAAGTACTATTTCGAGTACTATCTGGTGGATGAAGATGCAAACGAGTTTAGAACATATGGTGACTATAAAAAATATCTTGAGGCTTATTATGATCACAGGTACGGCCAGCAGAAGCGTGATATTCAGCAGTACTTTAGTGGCGTAAACCAGAACCTGAAGAAGCTGGTTCATCAAACAGGCTCCTTTAATATCAACTAGGGCTGTCAATCTTCCTCTATAATACTATTTGAATTCCATTCCTTATTTTATGTAATATTCGAATAATATTCGAATATTAAATGCTCAAATTGATCCTATTATTAGTATTTACGACATTACACATTCTTATGGATCGTCAATGCCAAGCCTGTGGTTGTTGTTACACGTTCGGCCCACTAGAGGGATATCTAACATTACTACAATAAACATTTAGGGGTTGTTTACACCTGGCCACTTCATGCGTTTTCTCAGATCGGATAGCTCTGTTTTATCAAAACGATTCCATTTACACCTTGTCACATAAATGTGTTTTTGCAAAACAGATATTAATCTGATCTTCAATTCCCGCGCTATATACTGATTTGATGAAGTGCACGTCACCGAAAGCAACAGTTATGAGCTGCATTTTATTGATCATAGGCTAATTTAAAAATCAGCAAAGACAGCAATTAGGGAGAGAGGCAGTAGCCCTGGTAATATCATTTCATTTCTTTACTTTTAATGAAGATGGTAGTGTTAAGCGTCTTCGACTTACTTTCACTTTGATTTGCGATAGATTGCGGCGCGTTGGCTTGATGAATAGGTCCTCAGATCTGAGGTGATGTGATCGTCATATTTCGTCGGAAGTTTCGGGAGTCTGGGAGGAAAATGCTTAACATGTAATTAAACACGTTGCGTTGATATTCTGGACTCATCTTATTTTTTTATACATAGTATGGTTTATTAATATGATGTGTACTGAATTTGGTCTTTTAATATCACTGTCTTGGTACAGTAAGCCACGTTAAGCGTTTTCTCATGACGGTTTCAATGGGAAGAAAATGCTTAACGTGTTATTAATCGCGTTGTGTTGATATCCTGGACTCATCTTATTTTTTTATACATAGTATGGTTTATAATATGATGTGTACTGAATTTGGTCTTTTAATATCACTGTCTTAGTACAGTAAGCCACGTTAAGCGTTTTCTCATGATGGTTTTGTAAGGGAAGAAAATGCTAACGTGTTATTAATCGCGTTGTGTTGATATCCTGGACTCATCTTATTTTTTTATACATAGTATGGTTTATTAATATGATGTGTACTGAATTTGGTCTTTTAATATCACTGTCTTAGTACAGTAAGCCACGTTAAGCGTTTTCTCATGACGGTTTTGTATGGGAAGAAAATGCTTAACGTGTTATTAATCGCGTTGTGTTGATATCCTGGACTCATCTTATTTTTTTATACATAGTATGGTTTATTAATATGATGTGTACTGAATTTGGTCTTTTAATATCACTGTCTTGGTAAGCCACGTTAAGCGTTTTCTGATGGTTTTGTATGGGAAGAAAATGCTTAACGTGTTATTAATCGCGTTGCGTTGATATCTTGGACTCATCTTATTTTTTTATACATAGTATGGTTTATTAATATGATGTGTACTGAATTTGGTCTTTTAATATCACTGTCTTGGTACAGTAAGCCACGTTAAGCGTTTTCTCATAACGGTTTTGTATGGGAAGAAAATGCTTAACGTGTTATTAATCGCGTTGCGTTGATATTCTGGACTCATCTTATTTTTTTATACATAGTATGGTTTATTAATATGATGTGTACTGAATTTGGTCTTTTAATATCACTGTCTTAGTACAGTAAGCCACGTTAAGCGTTTTTCACGTTAAGCGTTTTAGAATGTCCCCTCCCTGGGACGGCCGCAAATTAGTTAAAATCTCCCGGAATCCCCGCATAACATACATAGCGTGCGGCGCGTGAATGGCATAGAGGGAGTGAACGAGACCTTGCTAATATGCCACGCGAAAGCTAGTCCCGCGCTCTCCTGTTGTTAATCATAAAGCGATCTAAGGGGCCGTTTACACCTGGTCACTTCGGAAGTATATATATATATATTTAAACATGTATAAAAGCAATATTCGAAGAGTAACTTCAGCATTCGAATAGTATTGACTTTTTTTAAAATATTCGAATTCTATTCGAATTTCGGAATTCGTTCCAACAGCCCCAATATCAACTGATAGGCTGATGGACCTGAGGAGATGCACCACATGACCACAAGTATGTGACAGTTCAACATGTGGTTCAGAACCAGGACTCTGTGCACACAGCAGCATTTTCATCAGGGCTGTAGTACTTTGGTTTGGTCCTGGTCTCCAATATATGTTGTTATTATGTTGAAGTTGTCCCAGTTCTGTAGGTGTTCCTGGTGATGGATTGAGCAAATAATTGAGTCGACTAGACTGGAATTTGTATCACAGGTCTTGTGACTCTGACTTGTTTCTCAGGTGTGTTTTTCAGACTTGTCTTGACCTCGATGGACTTCTCACTCAAACTCATGTTGATCTTGTGGCTGTTTTGACTCTGACTACGCTTCCCACAATTTTGACTTGAGCTTGTCTCTCTGCATCATGATTCTTTTGACTAAAACAGATCTCGGCTTTGTGTTTTGAATTGTCTTGGTCTTACAGGTCGTGGTCCAGTGTGTCAGAACAGCCACAAGACCAACACAAGTATTAATCAAAACACCCATGAAATGTGACAAGTCCATTCCGAGTCAGAACACCTGCAGAACTGAGACAAGTTAAAGTCAAAACACCAGAGAGACCAGTTGGAGACAAACACTGCTAATGACCTAGCTGCTTTTGTTCAGTTTTGACTTCCACTTGGACAGGGCTGTCCACATACTTTAGGCTATGAAGTGCATCTGATGTTTGGTGTCTTAATATTAACACAAGTTTTAGTTAAAGACGCATAACAGAAGAAGTAAAGTGATAAAGTAACCCAAGTTAGGTTAGTTTAGCTCTATGTAACGAAGCTAAGTGTTAAAAATACTTTTTGAGTTGAACAACAAAAGGTACCCAGCATGTTAAAACTGATGCCAAGGGGTCTTTACCAATCGTCCTTATGTGACCTATGAGGGCTGGATCTTCTCAGCTCGTGCCCAGTGTTATGGCAGAAAATAGATTTTACCTATATGCATGCTGATAATCATCATATACAGTTTATGTACTGTTGTGTACTTATATTCACCTTCTGAGTCTTTATGCTGTCTTCATGCGGGGCCAGACTTTATGGTGGACTGACTAGTGTGATGGCAGAATATTGTATTTTCTTTCTCTTATAATCTTTATAAGTACTTATAATAGCACTATTTTTTGTTATTATTATGTCTCCTATATTGTTTTTACATGTGCAGGCTTTAGGTCAGAGAAGTTGTTTTAGTGTTTTCCTCACTAGCTGTTCCTCTGCTTGCTCTGGCTGGTCGCAGGATCTCTGTTCCCTGAAACATAGAAACCTCCACTGTGTTGATGATCAGGCATCCCTTTGCTCGGGGCCAGATGTTAGTATCCGAGGAGACAGAACCTCTGGTCCAGCTGATTTGTGTTACACTACTTCACTGTTTATTCTCTTTTATTAATAAATTCTTCAACAGTTTGCTGTAACTCAGTTATTTGCTAAGTCAGGAATATAATGTCCACAACAGCAGCTGTGGAGTCTGTCTCTGCTCAGACTCGTGTGACTCTAAGTTTTAAGGCTGAGGCCCAATCCACACTAATCCACTACTACTATTAACTACTACTATTAAAACGCATCCGTTCTGCGTCCACAGCAGCGTTTCAGCTGCGTTTCAGGCCATGTCCACACGACGGACACGGGTATTTTTATAACCGGAGTTTTTCCCTCCTGCGTGTTTATGACCTATACTGGGACCGGCCACCGGTGGGCGATCGAGACTCTGGGTTTATGAGCTATACTGGGACCAGCCACCGGGGGGCGATCGAGACTCTGGGTTTATGAGCTATACTGGGACCAGCCACCGGGGGGCGATCGAGACTCTGGGTTTATGAGCTATACTGGGACCGGCCACTTAAAGAGTAACTAAACACTTAACCAACTTTTTTTTAGTTAATGATCTGTAAGAATGGATCTTTATTAATACCAGTCATTGATTCGAGTAACTTTTTTGGCATTTGTTTATAAAGTGTTCTATTTCTACAATATATGGTGTAAAAACGTCTTAGTGCTGCCCTCTTCAGGTTGAACGGTGGCTACTGCAGTTGAATTTTCCTATTAGATGTTTGAGGTGGTGCGTGACACAGCGGTTGTTGGTGACGTAGGCAAGTTCCATACAAAGAGATGCGTCTCAGGTGCACGCCCCCCCTCCGCTGGGCTCTGCCCACTTTTCCAGCATTTTTCAAATATTGCCAGTGGGTGGAGTCAGGCTCTGGCTAGGGGTTTAGTTACCCTTTAAAAAAAACTCCGTCCACATGAAAACGCAAAAACAAGACATTAAGCGCTGTCAAGAGCATGCAACACCAGCAGGTGGCGATATAAACCTAACCGTAAAGCCACGTAAGCCAATCAGAAGCCATCAGCGGTGCAAGTTTAACCACTAGACTAGAGACATCAGAGCCAGCGACAAACGTCAGAAGCCTGGCCGAGGTACGGCTATTCTCGGCGGGGTACATGAGCGCTGAGCGTCCAGTGAAAGACTGGATATCACATCTCCGAAAACGTCAGATCAATTTTTTTAAATAGGCGCTATCTTTATAAATAAATCACAGATTTGAGCATTAAACAACTATATTGTCGACTGAAAAACTATTAAAACGACATTTCGTGAAGCAATAACAGTAGTATGTTTAAATGTCACGGCTTTTCTCGTCTGTCTGTGCGCGAAAGCACCAAAGGTGACTGAAGGATTGCCGTAAAGCAGGTCTCTGGTCGTACAATGTGTATGACGTCATTGAAATTTAAAAAGACTTTTTAAAGCAAATAAGTGACTCTAAAAATCTAACACCTAGTAATATGTAATTTCTTTGCATCTCCTTTCGAAAACAACATTCAAATTTCTAGAAAAAATTATATAAGGAGAAAAGTGGATTTTTAGGGGTATAGCTCCATAGACCTCCATTCATTCTGCACTCGCTCGCGAGCGCCCCCGCATGGACAGAGAAGTGTTACTGCAGCCAGTCCAGAAACAGGAAGTAACCAGAGAGTGCCAGTTCTCTTCATATTAGACATTCTCTGGTAATATGATCTCATAGACATATACATAGATATCTATATAAAGGCTAGATATGTCGTCCACACTGCTGGCCAATGGAGGTCGACGTCTGCACCTGGCGGCCATCTTGTCACAGGTAGCTCGCTCACTCGTAACATTGTGTTAATGGTACATGTACTATTTAAATGACCATAACTTGCTCAATTTTCTACCGATTTTCAAACGGTTTGTTTTGTTATAAACGTCAGAGATGTAGTTATGACACTACATACTTATGAATAAAAAGTGTATAAATAAATAATCATCCAGATAATTATAGCCACGTTAATAACGTTTGTAAGAAACCAAACCGTTTGTAAATCCGTCAAGATTTCAACGAGATAAGAGTATTTGTGTTCGTGCTGACCACTCATCTTACATCAGCTTGTCTGTGACAAGATGGCCGCCGGTGATGACGATGGAAACTCCGCCGTAACACATCTAGCCTTTATATACATATATATGGACATATACACTAGACTTCACCTTGGGGTTCTAAGCATGCGTCAAAACCGCTGCCATCTTGGAACAGGGGTCTTGTCATAGGAAGTAGCTAGGTAACACTGCTATCTCTGCCTTTACTTCGAATTCATTGATGGTGGCGGACTTTTGTGCAACGTATGATGTTCACGGATAAAATCTGAACTAGGAAGAATGTTTTTTTTTTTTAAAAAATGTCTTTCTGGAATCAATGATAAATACATGTCTGACCGTTGGAACAAACCAAAAAAACAAGAAAAATCGCATTCATGATGATTTATGATGATTTTATTTCCGTTAGACCTGTATCTACTACATTGACGCTGATGCATTAAAGTGGAGGGGCTCCCCTGTTTCAAGATGGCGGCTCTATTGACGCATTCGTTCCAATGAACTACCGTAGCCAAGGTGAGGTCTAGTGTATATGTCTATGATATGATCTCAACATAGAGGGATCTCAAGCAGTGGAGGCAAAATATTTTAAATTCTTCTACTAGTGTTTTGGCGGGTTACAGAGAATTGCAATGCTGCGTACCGCCACCTACTGTTTCGGAGTGAGTCAATTATAAAATCAAAGTAGCTACAGTCTTTGTTTTATCTAGATATTTTGATTTGAGACTATGATTTTACCAGTTTCACACAGAAAAAAAATCTACCTAAAATGTTTTAATTTTAATAATAATAATAATAAAAAAAAAAAATATATATATATATATAGTGTAGCCAGATATCATGAAAGTGCATATCTATACCACAACTATTATTTATCGTACCTTTTATACGTAAAAAACTAGTTTTTGCATATGATACATACTTTATGGCATGTAATACGCACGCACTCCGCACCCCTAATCCTACCCAAGGGGTTTATAGTGCGTTTATATGCACGGCAAAAACATGTTATGTAATATGAAAATCAATAAGATTCGTTGTAGATGCGCACTTTCATTAGATCGACCTTTATCCCCGATTATTATGCCAGTGTTTGTCGAAGTTGCTTTTAATTGGTAATTTACTTTAATTACCAATTAATTAAAGTACCCCATAAGCCCAGACTATAGAGTCCTTACTGGTTCCCGATACACCCGGTCACCTGGACCCCCACCCTCTAACACCTACCCATCCCATTCAAGGCCCATAATATATGATATGTGCTGATGGCGGTTGTCTTATATAGTGTTAACAGTCTGAAAATTCTTATAGTCAAGAATGAGGCTGAAATATTTTGATCAGCATGATTATTTAATGTAGAATAAGGCACCAAGTTGTAAAAATAGACAAAACAGATTTATAAAGAGATATACAATGTATGCCTATTTCTTTACAAACATCCACAGAATTCGAAATGATATAATGGTAAATAGTAAATAACAGCATTTTCATTTGTCTATCAAAAATATAGCATTGAGGATTTCTGGAAATTAAGTATATTATGTATCTTTTGGAATCATACAGATACAATTTAACAGAGAACAGAAAGTAGTTTTTTTGTCGCTCCAATGCATATTTAAGATAGAATGTACATGTTACACAAGAATCAATGACAATAATAGGGACAATGTATAGACACATTACCATTGAGTAGGAATCACACAGAACTTATAACTCAACACATAATTGAATGAAATTGTTTATTAAACATCCCTGCATAATACCCCAAGATATATGAATGTGATATATATAGACTCAGTGGTGCCAATCACTTTTGGGGTTGGGCCTCCAATGATTAGGCCTCCTAATCATCCCCATATATATATATACACTGATTGGCTTCATCCCTCTGTCTCTTCTCCACCAATAAGCTGCTGTGTGGTGGGCCTTCTGGTGCTAAATTTGGCCGCCGTCACGTCATCCAGGTGATGCTGCGAATTGGTGGTGGTTGAGATTCCCCCTTCCAGATGTAAAGCACTTTGAGTGCTGAGAAAAGCGTTATATAAATGTAATGAATTATTATTATTATTATTATTAATCAAGACTGAAGACTCTGCTGTCCCATTATTCATGTAGTCTTCCTGGTTTTATGGATCTATTTCCATGTCCACATCATTGTCATCCAAGTTAAGATTTAAAGATTTATATTCAGAGAGTAATTTTAGGATGTCAGATCTCTCATTTTTCTTGGCCTGTGTGATGATCCTTTCCAGGATGGGCTGCATGGAGTAGGCATATTCCACAATGCTTCTATCTTTACCTTTTGCTCCTTTGTACACATATCCACCAGTGTGCACACCAATCAGATAGCAGTGTTCATCAAAAACTGGAGAGCCAGACGATCCGTGAAAGAAACAAGAGTCGTAATGGATCTGGTTGTCATGAATTTCCCATTTCTCTGCCAAAGACTGTTGTGTGATCACATGAATGAAATCCCGATTCTCAGATACGCGTTTATCTGCAGCCTCTAGTAGATTCTCTCTCTCAATGATGAAGCAGGGATCCATTTTCTTGACCCCTTCTCCTGGATGTCCCACAATGCAGATCTGACCTTTGTCAGGAGGAGGGCCATGGGTGTATCGACTGAGCAATCCAGGACAGTTAGCAATTTCATAAGTGGCTTCCAGTTCAAGAAGTGCGAAGTCCAGATGCATGCCCGTGTTGTCTTTGCCATAATAGTACGCTGCAACCTGTTCCTTAATCGGCACACACTTGGTCTCATTTGCTTCTAAATCTTCATATCCAAATACAGCAGTGAATGTCTTTGAAAGCTTCATGGAGAAAGGGTGAAATTCTCCAACAACATGAGCATTAGTGAGTATGAATCTGTCGAAGAGTAAGAAGCCGGTTCCTTTGGCGGATCCCTCCACTCGAATCTGACACACATGTTCAGAGAGTTTCGTGAGCAGCTTCACTTTCTTCACCTCCAAAAAACTCTGAACGCTTTTATCATATTTTGCTCTGAAGAACTTCTGGACCTCAGGCTTCTTCTTTAGGTTCTCTCGCTGTTTTAAAGTATCCATTAAACCTTTAAACTGAGAGCGCAAAATTCCCAGGATCTCGGTGGAGTCAATTATTGTAGAGCATTTAGCTGAAGTATTTGTGGATTTCATTGTGTTTCTCTTTTGAGTTTCTTCTTGTTCAGAGTTGACGGGTTGCTGGTTAGAATCAACGTTTTCTTTCAAATCAGCGGCTGAAGCTTCATTCATTTCAGTGCTGACATCACTCAATAAGTCTTGACTGTCTGGCTCGTTTTTATCACTGATGACAATGACCTCAAACTGCTTTCGATCAAGATGCTCTACAGTGTTTGACATTACATGGTTTATTTCGCTCCCTAACTCACGGAGTGCACACTGTTTCTTGAAAATGACATTGATGAAGCGTCCGTCACGCCGGAGAGCATCCTTCAGATTGTCTTCTTTGAATGCGTACACACAAACATCCTCAACTTTCTTCCTCAGCTGATGGTTTTTCATTAAGCGTTTCACTTTATCCCCTCCTTTTGTTTTAATGTAAAATATTACTAAGTTTTCTGATTGATTGGAGAATGAAAGCCTTCCAGTTGTTTTTATCTTTGCATCAACATTTCCGGTACTTTTGATGAAGGTTATGTCTAAGAGCTCATCTTTTTCAATAAGACAGCAGGGGAAGTCGCTCTTCACAGCAGCTCTATGAACTTCTCCTTTGGATCTCTGGATGACTATTTCTTTCTCCATGTTGTCTGTTTTAATCTTCCTGAAAATCTTGTTTGTATTGAGAGCATCAAGCACAGTCTTGGATGTATCACATGCCACTGCATGTATCTTAGATTGGTAGCGGAAATTGAAACTGTAGCTTTGCCCCTCATTGCACTGATAAATTCAGAAGAACAAGAATACAAAAAGCTTTTAAACATTTATAAATTAATGATCTCCATAAAATGATTAGCAATACTGTACAACATTATAATACAAATAATCAGTCCCTCCAGAAAAACGCGATTCTGCGATCGCTGAATTCAATGCAAAATCAGCCAAAGTCCGCATATTTATGCGGGGGCCGCATTTTTTCAAATACGCCGCACTTTCGCCGCATAAATTGCCGATTTCCGTGCAAAATATGCGGGGTTTGCATGATTTCATAATCCTCGCATTTTCGTTGCAAAAAAAGTCACATCTTAGCAGAAAGTTGAAAAATGTTGCATTTGCTTCACACAAGAGCAGTCATTTCCCCCTGTTTCCATGGGAACGTTATGGAGTGACGCAATTACGCAATGGGATAACTCACAGCTGAAGTTATTCAGAGGTCAGACAGATTCACGGAGGCGATTGATATCTCACAAATATATAACTCATATAATTGTCCGTCACAGGTTCTACCGTCACATCGTTACTTAATAAACATAATAAGATGATAAAAAGCTACCTGCACACATGGGGTGTTCGAGGCGCACATAACACTGCAGAAAGTTCAACAGAAAGCACGCAGCAGCTCTTAAAGGGGCCACACCTTATTTACACAGTTGTTACAGTCTGAAATAAAACATTGCTGTTTTTTTAATTGTGAAAGAGAGTCTATTGTGCACTTATTCTTTGAATGTCCCTATTCTTCAATCTTTTGGAATGAGATTTCTAGGTTTTAAAATGAATTGCAACCTTGTCTTAAATTTGTCATCTGTCTTCATATGATTTTGACTTTCCTATAAGAAATGTATGTTATCGATTTGTTTCTATTATTAGGAAATTTTCATATTCATCAAACTAAGTGGAGTAACTCAAAACCCAACTTTGCTCATTTCAAAACAGCCTTTAAAATGTATTTTGAGTCTATAAAACAAAATAAAAAATCGAAAAGCCCAAAGATCTGTATCTCTGGGAAAGGAATTTTTGCAAGTTCCCGCAATTTCATCGCATAAAATTGCATAAATATCCCACATATTCCATTGCATTTTTAAAGAAAACGGGCTGCATAATCAAGGATTTTTGCCCGCAACAATCACAAAAAAAACGCAGCGTTTTTCTGGAAGGACTGAATAATATACAGCAGTGATGAGTATCCATACATTTTTCCAGATTTAATTTGAATCAACAAGTCATTGATCACCACATTCATAATATGCAATTTTTTATTATTTATCATTCTTTAATTAAGGTGTATTATTCATTAAGTAGAAGATCAGTCGCGATTCCACAGCGATCTGTGGAGGTGCTGGTGCAATACAGGTAAAGGAGTTTCAGCACCAAGTACCATTAAAATTCACATACCTGCTGCATATGGCTTTTTGATGGACCCTCTTTAACTTCATCCTTGCTAAAACCGTTCTTCCTTTCCTGAGTAAATGTCAACACAACAGTACTGTTAATATGAGTCCACTATTGAAGGTTTACCATCAAATTGTAAATCATAAGCAATGAAATAAAATCACTCAAAATAGATATTTTAGGTACAACAGGCTTTGTCTTTCCCAAATGTTTTAGCTAGAGAAATTCCACACAAACTTTTTCATGATACCCTTAAATAATCTTCATCAAATGATAGATATGTCAGCATGCAACAAACCTTTAGAGGATCGCGGCCATTGTTTCCTTTTTTCTTGCTCGTAATATTTATTCTTTTCTAGAACAATGGCATAAGCATCATAAAAATTGCATACATTATTATTAATTGAACACATTTGACATTACCAAAATTACATTTTATGATATTGCCACACAGAATTAATGAAAAGTGCACTCAAAGTATGCAAGTCTGTTAGTTCCTTTAACATGCACCAATTAAAAATATGAAATCTCAGAGTGGGAAAAAAAGTAGTTCATAAAGATGTCAATATATTGCAAGTCTTGTGTGAGGAACTGACCAAAATGTTGTGTTTGTATTCTTTGAATATATGCAGAAACAAATGTGGATCATTTGATAAAAAACTTAGTTGAATAAAGATATGTTTTGGTCTGTTCCTCTTCCTCACATGTGACAGGATCCAGAAGTCTGGGAATATTGTTCACAAGCTATAAAGACTACTTTTATAGTGCTGTTTTATGAGCTTGACAACTCAGTGTCTTTGAACTAATGATTAAAGACATGGATCATTAAAAATACATTTTTTTTAAATAAAGAAAAAATCTTTTGTTCTTTTGCATTTGCTTATTTACTTGACTTTGACGTCTTTACTGACTGAGACATAGGCAATTACCATTTTTTTTGTTTCTTAGACTTGTTGAAATACTTACCTGCACCTTTTCACCAGTTTGTGATGCCCTTCTGGCTTCACTGTTGCTGTCAGTAGGCTTTATCTGAAATAGACATTCCACAATCTTTACCATGACCATTTAGATTAAGGCTAAACATTTCAATATGTTCAACATAAAGAATGGCAATAGCCAAGCTTAGAATGTGAAAATCAATATTTATGAATCAGATATAATGTATAATACTTAGCATTTTGTCACCGAAAAATAATTCAAAATGCTGTTATTCATTTTCTTCGCTGGTGTTGATCAAGAGTGATGTTGGCAATTCAGTGCTTCTGTGAAAAGGAAAAATGATGAGTTCAAGATTAATATCTCAAAGAAATCCGATCAATAATTTTTATTATACTGCATTAAAGTATGTATACTATAGTGCAGTCTACATAATTGGTAAAACCAGTACACAAAAAATGTCTATTTTATATATTTTTCACATGGATTACAAGCCATTTTTTGTTTTATTTCGGGGATAATTTGCTGAATTATCAAACGCGAGGAGATTGTGACAGATTCATGCCTACTGTTTGCACTATTTTTGAAAAAAGTACGCAAATTAAAGACCATTGCATAAAAGTATTTAATAGGCATTTGATTGAGGTCACGTTCGACGTCCAGCAAATCATGCACTAAAGCTATTCTGTTCCCATTGTTTGGCGATTAGGACGAATTCATTTAATTCTGACCAGAAATATTCCCCTTCACAGCCCTCAATCTTTGAAAGCGGGAAAATCCCCGCCAAAGCGGCTCACGTGACAGTGAATCACAAACGAAAAGCCACAAACCCACCTTTGGTTTATCGCGTTTTACAATCTTTTCTGTCCATAAGATACACACCGCAATGTAAGTTTTTTATTATTATTGTCAATTCTTTCTCAAATAAGTCACAACAAGCACATTTTATCCTTTACAGTAACGTTAGCCTATTAGTTTGTTAATCAAAACACAAAAGTAGATAACCAAAATATATCATGCTAAAACATATTTTTAAAAGTTGTAGTAAACCTCCTGGTTAATAATATTTTGGTTGAATATGATATTTGTTTTAAAAAGTTACCTTATGCGAGTTAAAATATGAAGCAGAAGAAAGTGCGTGTCCTGTTTCCCTTTGTGTGTGAAGTGTAATCTTATCTGATCCCATCCAGCGCGCGCAAAAGATTTATAATTCCTCTAGTGTTTTTTTGACGGGTTATAGACCATTGTAAAAGCTGCATACCGCCACCTACTATATTGGAGTGAGTAAATGGTAAAATCAAAATAGTCTATGGTCAAATCATGGCTTCATTTATCTCTAATTATTGTAAAATGCTGTTTAATTCGTTTAAAATGCTTCACATAATGCTTTGATTTACCAAGAAATATTTTTCTGTATGAATTATGTTTTGTTCAGGTCATGATAATAGAACAGCATGAGAAACACATCCAGTTGTCTAAAAATGGTGGTCAAAGGACTTTGTTAGTGTTGTGTGAATGCCTACTTAAAGCACTCAAGATTTTGAATTTCAGAGACAGCACAAAAACAGAAATGGCATAAAAAACTTGCTTGCTTTTTAACTCTAACTCTCTAAATTATGAGTTCGAGCTGTATGATGAGAACATAGATTGCCATTTTTGTCGTTCTTTAAAAGCACTCCAATCTGCCATTGAGCAGCATTAAAATATCAAAATGTTTTTCCTCATTCAGTAATACACAATTGTACAGAAAGGTACTTCAAATCTCATGAATATTTATTTGAGGTATTGAGGAAATTCAAACAAAAGAAAGAAAAATAAAACCGCTGCTATACAGATAAAAAAAGCATAAATTGTCCTTCATATTTTCAGTAGCTCTGAGCAGTAATTTAATATTAATTCAGAGACATTTATAATAAATAGATCATAATGGAAAAAGTAAAACAGCATTCATGTTACATCCATTCACTTTTTGATCACAGGGATTTGAAGTTTACAGTACAAAACACGAGCTCAATAACCAAAAAGAGACATTTTCTTCTGTAACTTTAAAGTGTGATCTATTAAATAATGAACGGTTAAACAAAATACTCAAACTAAAGACATAAGTGTTTCCTGTCTGTGATTTACTTACTCATCCTGAGGGTGAAAGTTCAGAGTGAAGTGTAGATCAGGACACAGTGAGACCTTCATGCATCAGGGTGACCTTAAATAAACTCTATTCTCTAAACAGAACCTTTAAACTTCAAATAAGGATTTTATAGAGAACTAACGTGACTCTTTTTCTTCCCTTTTTCAGCCAAATATTAATGTTCCTCTGCATGAAAACCAACCGTCACAGGTGAGAAGATACTGTTACTACACTATATTTGTGTACAGTATGTGGGGTTTGCTATTTTGGCTTCATCTGGAAGTAAAGGGACAATTGGAGGTAAGAGCAACACTCACACACACAAACTCACAGAAAACACATTCAGTACAAAGAGACACAGAAGCGTTAAAGCTGCAGTCCCTCACTGGACACTTCAGGAAGAGTGTGAAGATTAAAAAGTGCAAATAGTTTCCCTTTATTGTTCTCCTTGTTCTCATACATCATCAAAGATGCGGCTACGAGATGCAGAGGTGGCGAGGTATTGTCCTCCAGCGTACCTACAGAGAGATGACATTCATTAACAACGAGAGAACTACATGAAAACCTTCAAAATGCCTTTTGTCCCAATAGATTCTCCTTATATCTTATACTTGTATGCGGCAAATACGATTGGCTCTTAGGATAAATGGCTTGTTCATCATTTTCAAATCGCCCTCTGTAAAAGCGTCAGTGAGTAATATAAATCAAATCAAAATCCCTGAACGTTTACACGTCATCACACAATACATTTTATTATTGTATTTAATATTAAACACGTTACTTTCTCTTTTACATGGCTAAGAAGTGTTGTATGAGTAAAGAACAAAAATAAATAATTCAATAATCCTTAAATAAATAACGTAAAACTAAATATAACATTTAGTCTTAAAAAAAGTGGTCTGAGCAACAAATGCATAAGAAAAATAATATTCTCAAGCTCATGCTATTAGTTTCCATGACTGAAATATGTTTGTTATGAGATATAATGTAGTAATACAGACCTCCTGTTATCCGTTTCCAGCTGTTCTTCTCCAGTGAAGTCCAACGGTTCAACGTCTTGTAGTAATTCAGCCTTGTCGTTCCGATCTCTTCGAGACTGAGCTGCACACACACAAAACCAATGCCCTTCATCACATCTGACCAAAAACTCAACGCAAGAGTATTTTCAGAAAGGTCCTTACACACTGAGTCCGAAATTGTCGTGTGCGTTTTTTTTGTGATTCAGTGGCTCTGAATTGTCAAAATGCTCACTATGGATGCGAAAAACGCAGAAAATCGAACCCGATCCGATTTTTTTTAATGAGGGACGAAAGTTTCGGAGGCAGTGTGCGAGCGTGTTTGACATTACGTGACGATGAGGTCGTATTTATTTTTAAAGTGCGAAAATTTCAGATGCGAATTTCGGACTCGGTGTGCAAGGGCCTTTAGACCGCCCTCACCTCGGCCAGTGTCTGTGCTGGAGCCGTCCGTCTCCTTCAGCTCTGAGTACGCACTTCTGCTCCTCCCGCCATATCTCTCCCTCTGATCGCTGTAGCGTTCCCTCCATTCCTGACAGACAGAGACGTGATGAACGGAGAAACGGGGTTCAGACAGGCACAGTACTGTAATGTATCCTCATCATTAAATGTGAGACAGTTTAGCCAGAAACAAACTCACTCTCCGTCTGATCTCGCCATCCTCTGTCCTCTGCCGTTTTCTTCTTTCTGAAAACAAGAGCAACGTTGAGAGTATTTTAAAAACAATTAAATTACAACATGACAATTTTTTTATCCTTGATATAATTCACAAACATAAATAGAATTTTATATTTATATATACTATTGTTCGAAAGTTTGGGGTCGGCAAGATTTTTTATGTTTTTGAAAGAAGTTTTATGTTCACAGAGGTTGCATATCAATCAATATTACAGGAAAAACAGAATATTTTGAAATATTATAACTTTTTAAAATTACTGTTTTAATATATTTATTCCTTGCATTTATTTCCTGTGATCAAAGCTGATACTTCACATGAAAACATTATAATTTTATTATGATCAGCTTTGAAACCAGTTGTGCTGCTTAATACTTTGTGGAAACCATGATACATTTTTATTCACGATTCTGTGATGAATAGAAAGTACAAAAGAAGAGCATTTACTGTATTTGAAATATATTTTTTTGACATAACATTATATATGTTTGTTTTTACTGTCACTTTTAATAAAAGTATTAATTTATTTATTTGAAAAACAAAATCTTACTGACCTTTTGAACGGTAGTGTGTGTGTGTGTGTATAGAATTTGTTCTAATTGCAATAGGTCTAAGGCTACATTTTAAAAGCATTACATTTTAATTATTTTCAGATTGAAAAAAGTCGGATTAGATTTTTGATTGATTGAAAAAAAAAATCGGATTTATTTAATTATATTCTGATTGAAAATATACTTTGAATAAAATATTGATATACGGAATCTAGCAATATCATCCAGTCCTTCTCGGGACTGTTGCGATTACATCAAAAAATAATAAAAAAAGAAATGTAATTTGTGTATATCTGCTAAACCTATTCTACCAATTATCAATTAGGTTTGGACTAACATAGATATGAACCAAATTTGAATTTGGCCTATAGTACCTCTCCGGATTAGTTCTCTCCCCTCATCCACCAGGTCAGAGGTCAGATCATTGTCACCCATAAACTGCTGGAAGCCCAGCAAATTCAGACAGCGCGTGCCCAGGCTAGAATGAACAAGAGGAAAAACAAAGAGCTATCAGCCTTCCAACAACAACCGTTTCTGTAATATTTTAAAGATAAATATTTGTTGGAGTTACATCTTACCTGAAGTAAGTTGCAATGCAGAGCAAAACGATGAGCATAGGATAATAAATATAAAATCCATTAGCGATGAATGACAGGACTTGCATGGATCCCATTATCTATCATAAAGAGAGAGAACGATTTTGGAGTGATGTGGCCATAAGTATCAATATGGCTGGTGTACATGATATAAAATATGACATAAAATCATTCTAAGCAACATCATTAATGCTGTGAGTTTAATATGCTTTTTATATGGCAAATTAGTTTTCCTATAGGCATATTAGACAATTATATTTTAATGGTGTCTCTGGTTTAAAACACGGTAGCAAAAATTTTAATTTGAGAATTCCAATTAAAAACAAATTCTGTATTTTGTTTGCAACGCCAGTTGCCATATTGCATTTTTAGTAAATAATCATGTTCATACATGGTGTCTAACCATAAACATGATTATCTGCTAAAAAAATGGAATATGGCGACATCATCTTTTGTCTTTTCAATAAATCGTTTGTAGTGACAGCATATAAATGCATGAGAAAAATAATATTCATTATTGATCTGAAATTAGTTGCAAATGAATGCTGTGATTTTAATATGCTTTAAGTAATGTATGCCAATTAGTTTTCTAATATAGACATTAGACTCGCAAGACAAAGATATTTTATTAGTAGTAAAAATAGTGGTTTTAGAATTCCAGTTCAAAACTGAAATTCAGCCTATTATCCACATCTTTAATAAAAAGTGTTCATATATAATAGTGATCATTGCATTTTTAGTAATTTTAACATCATTGCAATTTTAACAGTAATTTTAACATCATTGCAATTTTAGTTTAATTTAAATTTAGTAAAAAAGTATTGTTACATGCATACATTTAAATAAATTATGTCATGAAGATGTACTTTGAATACAAGGATGAAAATATCAGTATTATTATTAATATAGTTATACACTCCAGCTAATTAAAGTCTTACATGCTAGTTTTATACTAGATGTGTTATCGTATTTATGCATGAGAGTGGTGTGTGGCTCACTGAATTGTATGCTGTCTGCTGTCTCTGCTGATGGGAGATGGTGGAGTCCATGTGAATCACTCCCAGAAAGTTCAGACACAGAGGAGGCGTCAAGCGACAAAACAACCTGCACATCAATCAGAATGAAATGCTGAACACACTGATACAGCAACAGATCAGATGGTTTTTGTAACAGTCACATGGTGTTTCGTACATGCCGCTGAACTGCAGGCTGTAGGCGTCCGTCTGGTGGTGAGGGGCCAGGTAATAATAGTTAAAGACTCGGATCCGGAACACAGTGGAGTACACGCAGTAACACAAGAAGAATATGGTGACAAAACACGCCATCTAGAGGACAAACACAAAATAACAATGTACAGGTTCCAGTTTTTTCAACCTCACCAACCACTTTTTTTCAAGTCATGTTGGTTTACATATTAATGTGACATTATGCAAGTAAAATGGTTTGTAAACACCATTTTTATTTTGACTTTAAGTACAAAAATGATTGCCTGCAAAGCAACACATAGACCTGTCACGATCATGAATTTTGTGCTGATAATTAATCGTCATACAAATAATTGTATTTAAATTAAATTTATTAAATTTAAATATAATTGTATTAAATTAAATGTATTAAATTAAAATAATTAATTTATTTAAATTAAATGTATTAAAATTAAATATAATTGTATTTAAATTAAATTTATTAAATTAAAATAATTAATTTAAATTTATTAAAATTAAATATAATTGTATTTAAATTAAATTTATCAATTAAATTAAATTGATTTGATTCTGTTTTAAGTCACTTACAGTGTAAACCAAATATGTTTTATTCCCCACTTGGAATCGTACATAAAAGAGAAAATAAAGCAATAACCCCCAAGAAGCGTTTGTTTACAGTGAACAACTAAATAATCGCAGTCATAGGCTCAAAAATATTTGTTATAAAAATAATGCAAAATATGTTTTGCTGGGGGAAGTAGCAGCTTTCTGATTGGCTGTGTGTAGCCTTCTCCATTATATGTGTAATTGTGCTTGTGCTTTCCTCACCTCTATGTAAACGTAGTTGTAGTCTCTCTCTGCGAGCTGGATGAAGACGGCGAAGAGAGACAGAACGGGCTGTGTGCTGAAGAAGGTGCATTCAGACCAGACCACGGCTGCAGAGAACAGGCATAAAAGCACAGCCAGCACGCGGTAACACCAGCGCCGGAAAACACACTCCCAGTACCACTCTGCAGGACAGAAAGAGATGCATGAGGTTTTTGCCTAAACAAACTGCACCTTTAACTCAATATCATAGCTCATAATACCATTCATTACTTAAAGGAGTAGTTCACTCTTTAAAAACCTTTGCTGATAATTTACTCACCCCCATGTCATCCAAGATGTCCACGTCTTTCTTTCTTCAGTCGAAAAGAAATTAAGGTTTTTGATGAAAACATTCCAGGATTTTCTCCATATAATGGACTTCAATGGGAACCAAACGGTTCAAGGTCCAAATGAGTTTCAGTGCAGCTTCAAAGAGCTTTAAACGACACCAGACGATGAATAAGGGTCTTATCTAGTGGAACGATCACTCATTTAAAAAATAAAAAATAAAGTATAAGTTTTAGAATCACAAATGCTTGCCTTGCTCTGTTCTGTGATGCTTGTTCGTGACTCTCCTGTTCGAAACCTTTTTTCGTGTCATTTGGTTGATTCAACGAACAAAATGAACGAATTGACTCGGAAAAAGATTCGTTCATTTTGATGAACGAGTTCGAACAGGAGAGTCACGAACGCGCATCACAGAACAGAGCAAGGCGAGCATTTGAGCTTATAAAACTTAAATTTTTTTATTTATTTTTTAAATGAGCGATCGTTTCGCTTGATAAGACCCTTATTCATCGTCTGGTGTCGTTTAAAGCCATTTGAAGCTGCACTGAAACTCTCATTTGGACCTTGAACCGTTTGGTCCCCATTGACGTCCATTATATGGAGAAAAATCCTGGAATGTTTTCATCAAAAACCTTAATTTCAGGTTAGACTTAAACTTCAGGAGAGTTTCAGTGCAGCTTCAAAGGGCTTTAAATGACACCAGACGATGAATAAGGGTCTTATCTAGCGAAATGATCATTCATTTAAAAAATAAATAAAAAAATTTCAGTTTTATAAGCACAAATGTTCGCCTTGCTCTGTTCTGTGATGAGTGTTTGTGACTGTCCTGTTCAAATTCGTTCATCAAAATTAACAAATCTTTTTTTGAGTCATAACTCGAAAGTTCCTAAATAAGACCCTTATTCATCGCCTGGTGTCGTTTAAAGCCCTTTGAAGCTGCACTGAAACTCTCATTTGGACCTTGAACCGTTTGGACCCCATTGAAGTCCATTATATGGAGAAAATCCTGGAATGTTTTCATCAAAAACCTTCATTTCTTTTCGACTGAAGAAAGAAAGACGTGGACTTGGATGACATTGGGGTGAGTAAATTATCAGCAAAAGTTTTTTTAAAAGTGAACTACTCCTTTAAGGTTAGCGATTCGACACTAAATATAAAACTGTACTGTGCAATGTGTGCGCTCTGACATGAATGACATCTGAAATCGTGCGGTTTGTTGATGAAAGGTGTTCTGTTCTGTAAGCGATCAGACTGGGATTACAAAACATTAGACCTCCTTTGTTCCTCCAAGTTGTTCTCAGGGGTCCGAGCCTTTGAGAACAACTTAGCAATTGCATATCAACACCCAGAATTTCTCTTTGTGCTGGTCACGGGTAGGTGGACCATTGTCATATGTGTGCTGAAATGAACCAACCATTCCAAACATACATACATACTATAGAGAGTCTTTTCAAAATGGTTTGACATTTGATAAGAAAACTATTGATATTTCCATTGGCATTTTACAAAAAAAAAAACCTGTTCCACAAACATTGCAATCTTGCTAAACTTGTTTTTGTGGAAGTTTGGTTTTACAAAAAATCTGCTCAGGAAGCAAGCTTTACCTGGGTGGTTTCAAATGCTCTATATTTTAGGATTTTTCATAAAACACAAACAAGTTTAGCAAGATGTTTGAACAATGTTTGTGGAACTTAAAAAATACAGTGTCAGAAACCGCCCAGGTAAAGCTTGCGTTTACAAAACTGATGAGCAAACACTTTTGTAGACATCAATAGGCTCTATGCACGGCGGTGCATGATGTATTTCCGGTGAAGGTCTAAGGATGCTGGATTACTTCCGATGATCGCAGAGTCCTATGCTATTCTGAGAATTTATAATGGCTTTTATATTCTATGGCTTTACTAAAGAAACATTAGTCACAAAAACAGACACCCCTCATTTTGTTTATCCTTCTTTGTTTATTATATTAAATAAATATAACTATATATAAAATTACATCTAAATGTATTAAAGTTTCATTTCAAGTAAATTTTGAAGACTCTGCCATAATTTCCCTCGGTTTTCCTCCGCTTTAAATCTCCCCAACCGGAAACTGAAGAGCATCCTTGCGTCAAATGCAGAACTTATGTGTACATGTAGCCTATTAACCAGCAATAAAACTAGTATGTATATTTTAGACCAGGGGCATTTCACAAAAAAATCTTAAAGCTAAATTTATTCCTAATGTGGAAATTTAGGGGTGTGCCGCTCCTAATTTTAGGACTGGTACATTTTTCATCTTGCATTGTAACATTAAAAGTATCTCCTAAACCTAGTACAGCTCAAAAGTCCTCCCGAGGACTTCTAAAATCATAAGAGAAACTCAGAAACGACCCAAAAGCATGTCTGCTGCATTGTTTGTGAGGAATGCTTTGTTTTAAAGTTTCTTTTGTTTCCGTGCTCACTGTGAATGAGCCTTTACAGGTCTCTGTATCTCTCATAAAGGTGTTATTGTAGTAAGAGCAGAAAGGTATTTTCGACTACAAAAGAGAGAGAATGTGTCCACAGGTTTCCTCACCCACGGTGGGCGTGTACAGGTACTTGCTGATCCATCCAGGCGGTTCTGCAGAGGGGAAGCTGTGAATGAACTGGTGAGTGGAGCTTGTCTCGTTTTTGGCCACGTCCTCTAAGTGAAAAGCCTCGTCCAATAGAATCTGCCACTGAACTTGTGTGCGGTTATGCCTCTGAACAGCATAGATCACCTGACAGGAGATATGAATACAATGCATAAGTCTCAATCATGATATTTGAATATAAATACACTTATGTAATGCAAAATATTTCATGTTATATTTACACTTATAATTATAGTATTTTACATTTGCATTATACTATTTTAATGCAATAATAATTAAGTAATTAATAATTACTATTTTAATGCAATGATAATTAAAATTATTTTAATTATGAATAATTTCATAATAAAATTAACATTTAAATATTAAGTGGCATTTAAAAAAAAAAAATAGTTATATTATTTATAAATAATAAACATCAGTGAATTTGCTTTATATTAATGTTCTATATAGCTGCAGTGTTTTTATTACCTTTTTATGTAGTTTGACTAAACTATTTTTACTAGGATAAGGGTTTCCTTTGTCATCAAAGTCCTCATAATCGTCCATGTTTCTTCCCATCTTTTCCTGGTATTCTACAGGACACTGAGAAAGATGAGAGGGTATTAATACTCCATATGTGCGTCCCAATTTGCATACTTGTGCACTTTTCTATAACGTAGTGTAGTATAAATAGTGTGAGCAGAGTTAAAATACCTGGATGAAGCACTTTATAATCCCAAAATATATAAGTGCACTCAAGTGTCGCAACTTTAATTACGTAACACAGGGGGAGGGGCATCAGACTCAGATGTTGAATGATAAAATAACCTTATAAAATTGAGTGCATAAGTGCATAGTCTGTCATTTGGGAACCACCATATATTTACTCATGCACAATCAGTAGGATGAAGATCACTTGAAACTTACCTTTTTCAGAATAGTGTCAATGCATTTGCGTAGAGGATGGTTGTATTTGATTGTTTCATTAACCGTTCTGACATCCTGTAAAAGAGTGGACATTTAAGTATGCATTTATTTATTTTTTTATAAGAACTTTGATCAAAGAAATGACAATCCCTCACCTCCATAACATCTTCCAGGTTTTCTTCGGCGTCTGCTTTTTCCGTCATCAGTTTCGCTGCTTTGAAGTACGTCTTTGCCAGCAGTTGTCCGTGGCACGATGCCCTCCAATAGGAGCGAGGGATTTCCACCAGGCCGTATCCCAGCAGCAGCACCAGCAGGAACAACCCCCAGGTGTTGGCGGCGGTAATGCCAATCGTCCGTAAGTCAGACCTTTACAAGTATGTATAGGTTAAATACAGTATGTCAGCTAGGGAAGTGAGATGTACATTGGTCTAGAATTGAAAGCAGTTTTGTGATTGGCTGAAGGGGAAAGAAGATGGCGTTTCACTAACCAGGAGAGGTGCCACTTCGGAGTGACGGCGACGTAGATGAGCAGGGAGCAAAAGATAAGCAGGTATGTGCCATAATAAATGGCGTTTTCTATCAGGGCTGTTTTTATTTTCCCTGAGATGGAGAAACCTCCTGAACGTGCATACGACTGCATGAAGGGAATCAAGAGCCTGCGCACATGGGAACAAGATGTTAGAACATTTCTCAAATCCGTTATGCTTTTGTAAGAGCAAAATCATTGAAGTCATAATTACAAAAAAGTGCCACAAAATAGAAATTTAACATCACTGATGATGATACTGTTACTGGTCTGTCAGTAGTTATTGTTATATGTTGTTATATGGACTGCGACCCAATTTTTTCAGCAGCCTTGGTTCAAGAAGTATTTTCCCCATTTGTGTTTTTGTGGGCATGAAGTACTCATTATTATTGGAATAATAATTTAAAAAAACTATAGTAGTAGTAGTATAATACCAAATAAATTACTGTAGTCATTCAAAAATGAAAAAACAATTTTGCAATGTGTTTATTGCAGGATATTAAAATATATAAAATTATTGTATACCTGACTGCATGATTTGCCATGCTTCTTAGAGAGAATATGATTTGATGTAATGTACATTTCTGGTATTGTTCAAGTGTCATCAAAAATGACCTTTTTTCAATTAAATGGCTACTATATTTTAGTTAAATTATGTTTTTATTTAATACTTTGTATTTTTAGGGGATTTTATGGTACTAAATTATGTTTATGTAGTAGTTATAATCCATTTATTCACTTTTTGAGAATGGATCTGAAAATTTAATTTCCAACTTATAATAGTCATAAACCGTTAATGCTTTGGAGCACAGACTTCAGTTTGGTCTCTTTTTAAAGACGACACTTAGCAAATTATTGCTGAAGTGAAAACAGTTTTAAAATATTTACTTGGAAAAAGTTGGGGTTTATTCTTATGAAAAATTTTACTCTAAAACTGTAAGAAAATCAAAGCCATAAATCTAAACAAGGTGTGTCTTAAATTTGAGGTTGATATTGCAAAAAAGTGATTTTTTTTTGGGCGCAGTACCAAACACTTCCACTGAAATTCGCGGAATATTGCGCTGAATAAAATAATCATATAGCAAGTGGCAAAACTTTTAAAAAGTTTCATACCATTTAAATGAAGTAAAACAGTCTAAAAAAACAAAACATTAAATTTCTTTCGGACTGAACAGTACCAGAGGGTTAAACTTATTTTTTATTTGAATGAAAATATTGGATTGCAGCTAAAAACATTTAACAATATCAAATCTCATAGTAGATCTGTCTTGAAAAGATGTTTATTTCCAGAACCCTACTGTTGCACTTTATTGTGAAGAAACACAGGAATCGCACCATGTCAGGAACTGTGACGTCCAGTACACCACCCTCCAAAACACGGGAAGAATCCCATCTGGGATGTAACTCCAAGGCTTATGGCAAGACTTTGCCACCCTATAATCAGGAGAAGGTGGGGTGATGTGGATAAAGTTAATATATAACCATGTTCAGTGTTAACTAAACATAAAAGTCTTAGCAGCACTATTTGTACAACAGTGTTTAAACACATTTCAAGGCTTTATTTCTACCTAGAGGTATTCATTAGATCAAAGCGAGCCTCTTTACCTTTGTGTCGGAAATACCGAAGTGTTGGAGGAGTTATCACGTTGCATGCTGCTCGGCACCAAGTGGACATTATCAATCTCACACTGGTTATATATGGTCTGCAGATGCACAAACGAAACATCACCAGGGTTGAGAATACAACAACAGATTTAGGTTTCATTTGTGTTTTGTTAGTGCATCTTTGTCCTGCATTGCATGCTTGCCATCTGTTGATCATGTCAGTCATGCACTAAAACATCTTTTGTAAATGGCTCTAGATAACAGCAATGTTATATGCCTTA